CGCATTAATCTCCTAACTATTATATCCTTCCACTTGATAAAATTTTATCCCTATTATCATTTGTTATTAGGCCATGATTACTAATACTCTACTAATAGTAGATATTCTAGGTAATACATTAGGGACCTTTATAATAAACACTATAATATTAGTTAGGCATATATGTTATTGACCTTTGTTGGAATCACTATCATATGGTAATACCAACCTTTTTAAATTTAGTAGGGTATTGTAACTATTACCAATCGGGTTAATACCATTATTTGGCAGTTATATGATGAACCAATTTATAAAGTTAATTATCCATAATAGGCCTCCATACTACCATAAAGAGGAACCCTTAGGATACTGATATTGATTTAGGTGGATGTAGAGGTTGATTAAGAAAGTTAATACTCATGAGAATTTATAAGTTATAATAACCCTAAATAAGGTTTGTTAATGACTCTTTCATACTTGTATTCCTCCTTCCAGGATATGAATATCTATAATTATTAATTTATATCTTCCCTAAACGACTCATAATTAACTAGATGATTTAATGAGATTGGATATATTCTAACCTTTTATCTTCTCTACTAATACCTCGAGTTAATTATAAGACCTATACATCTATGAAATATAGGGTGAGCATCAAATTGTTAATCTAGGTCTATCCCTAATAATTATCTAATTTAGGAAGGTACCATATATGATTAATTAATAGTATACATTGTGGGCTATTATTAGTAACCATATAATAAGTGAGATTCTATTATACCCTTAATATTAGGGAATTAGTTATAACAGATCGATATAGGTTAATTTAAGGCAAAAGTAATATATAATGAAAAATAATAAGCAATTAACCTAACTAAGGGAGACTAGCAATGTACTGATTATAATTCTATACTATAATTCGTACCTAGTATTACCTTTATTATTAAACATAATAATGGTATATTAATATCACCCATAGGCCAATTGAGGGATCTTAGGGATCATACCATTATATGTTTTCCATGTTTCTCAACCTGTCCCAATAGTTTAGGGAATATACCCCATCAAAAGATTATCATACTAAAGAGGATATCCATAAGATTATATGGTTATCTAGTCGGTACTTACTATTTAACTTATACATTATCACATTAGGCCACATTATCGGGTCCATCCCCACAATCAATTAATTTTTATAGATATTCATGAGTAAACCTTAAACGATAATATTATTCTTTTGAATAATATTGAGTAACTCAATCCATAATTATAGGGAGTCTATTTAACTAGATTATCATAATATTAGGTTAACTAATATTATGTTTCAATTAATACCTATTATGGGCCTATTTGTGCAGTCATTGTATAATTACGGATAAGGTGAATTATATGAATAGGATTATAAGTTAACTTTTTGTAATTTAGGTTACATATGTTTATGATATATTAGTATCATTACAAGTGACGATATAGTTAAAATTAGTAATTAGCAATCACGAGCCTAACATGGGGAAACATAGGGATGGGCACAAAGTTAGATCAAATAGCTTTAGTTTGTGAGTAGAGTTGGACCCATGTATTAGTCTTAATAGGGTTGATATAAAAATGTTGGCTTATTACCTTGGCTACTATAATTAAACGAGCATTTTGTTAATTAATACCGACTCTATAAGATTACCAATGAGTTTAAGCCCAATGAGCATAAATACTTATGTTGTTACCTATTAAACAAACATCTAGATAATTATTATTAAATTAGCATAGGTCAATTAACTAGGTACTAAAACCTAGGTATCTTCTAATTGGTCATTAATATATCTTCGTATATATCCCAATTATATATATCATTGTATAATAGTGCATAGTAGAGAGAGTATGGTTACCAACTAGCTATTAAATATTATACCAAATCCCATTGACCTATTAGCCATTTATCTCTTTTCATAATTATATGGCCATATCATTAGATATAAAAGGCACCATTACTATATTAAGAAATCAGCTCACTTGACCATATCAAACCATCCTATAAACTCTCATTACCAACTAGGATTATATCAAAGCATTAAGGTCATGGTGTTCAATCATACCAATTAGAAGATATAATAGTTTAGGGTTTATTAATGGTATAACCACTGGCCCAACTAAGTAATTGAACAATATGTGTACTATATAAGAGGGACTCTCATGTAGGAGTAGAGATTTACATAAGTTCCTTTATTATTAAGGGTTTAGTCCTAGTTATAATCAATAATATTTACTATTATTCATGGGGCCATATATAGTACTATTTAGAATGACTAATTAAGTGAGAGGTGATTAATAGATGATACAAATATTTTAACCAATATTTTAACTAGTATACTCCAATAGTATAAGGGGTATATCATCAAAGGGTTCCTCATCTTGGTCTATTATGCTAAAATAAGTATATATGAGTACACTAGTATATTAGATATAGTCCTACTATTAGGCGATATACCCTTTAGGGAATTGGCCTTTCTATAATGAATGGATTGAGTGATCTACATGATAATAACCAAGTTAAAAAAAAGTGAAAATGTGAGACCCCTTAGCTTGATATTATAGCCCTAGGCCCTAAGTTATAGAAAGGTCCTATTAATGGGATAAAATGTTAATAATTACGCATTATATAAAATAACTATTTATGTAGAGTATTTACTAGATATTAGGAATCCTAATGATTATCGAGGACCTATATCCGGTAGATTATTTATACTTATATAGTAAAAATATCATAGTTATCCCAAGTCTTTTTCCCTAAATATAGGGTTTAGCGGGGTTTACTAGGTAAGAGAGTATCCTTACATTGTTAAAACATTATTCGGTTGGTCTATAGGATAGTTATCCAAGATATAAACCTATTTTCCGTAGGATTTAGTAATCTTGATAATGTCGATTGGTTTATAGGATGGTTATCTAGGAAATAAAATGTCGATTGGGTCTCACTTAGTAATCTTTGTATTTACTAGTTATGGGTCTATAGTAATCAATTGACATTATGTACTCACCATAAATTGACCCATATGTTAATATATGGAATGAACCTCCTAGAGGGTACTATTGTATAATATTAGTTACCCTAAATTTCGATTAATTATCCTATGAATAGTATATTCTTCAATGGGGATATGAATGACCTATATTGGTAAGGGACCTTATTAGCATTTGTTTAAAAAGGTATATACCACCGACTTGGTATAACAAAATAACTTAACTAGTAATTATGTATAGTTCCCTAAGTTTAATATAGATAATGTACTAGTGTTTTTATTTATTACTAGATATAAACTTAAAGCGAGGCATTAGTAGAGAAGATAATCAAAATTGGGTCAACCTAATTAGAATAATAGGTCTATGATTATATGAGGTAACATATAAAATATAGGTATATCACATCCTAGAATAATATGGATATAAATATGGGAGAATAAAATTAGCATATTTATCCCTAGTATACTTGGAGTAACCATATGATTACCATATGTTTATATAGTCACCATAAATAGTCCATTATTTACATATGATAGATTATATTAATATTATATAAATAATACCAGGGTATTTCCCAAATATCATAGTTGATAACCTAATTATCAGTACTTGGTCATGATAATGATATAAGAGGCTTAAAAATAGATGCACACAGTATGATAAATAATGACTAAGGAGACTCATGTGTTTATAATATTGAGAGATTATAGTTAATGATAATACTCCCCATCTTACCTAAGTATACTCATTATAGGTTATCAACCCCCTTTAATCTAACATTGTTTAACTAAGGTACCTAACACCATGACCTTATAGTGATTAACCATTATAATGTATTATAGTCCCAAAGGATTATGAATATATTGAGAGGACATTGTATAATAGCCAATGATGATATCCCCTATTCAATTATAAATACTTTGACAATTTAACTACTCCTTATATGACATTGTGATAACCTGGTTAGGTTAAGAATATGTTACTTCTTATAACTAGACTATATTTTAAATTATGTATAGAAATATTATGGGTATTAGTCCTACTAAGCGATTACCTATGTAATATTCACTAACATTTAGTGTAGATAATGTCATGGTTACTAATTATTAGCACTACCCTAATACATTCTCTTCATAACTCTATTAGTATGACCACTATTATAGAAAAATACCCTATACCTAGTTACACTATGTCTCCTAACTCTTAATAATCCCTATCATTTATTGGGAAATTGTCCATGGTTAGGCCAAAATAATAACCAAATAATTTCAATTATCTTAAACTTGATAACATTTATCAAAAAATATATGGTAACTAGGTATTGTAAATTAAACTATTATACATATTAATACAAAATCTTATTTGGGTAATTTAGCATGATATGGAGTAGGCCAAATAACCTTAGGGCTACCTCAAGTAACTAGGGACAACTTATAATAGGCTCGTAATAGGATGCTGACCATCAAGGAAAATCGGTTCCCAAATGGATTTGACTATTGGGATATGCCATATGGTAATATTCCCCATCAAAATTTACTTTCCATATAGTTAATAATTACCTTAAATTATGATATTTTATCTCTATGTCTAATTGATATATTCATTATAGTAAATAGGAAGGTATTTAATTAACAATCCACTAAATTAGTTTGGCTCAATGATTTATACCTACTAATATATTAACCCATCAAATTGTTCATAGGAATATATTATCCTTAATGAAATCAGGAAGGTAGTTATCCTACATAATTTATCCCTATTTGGTATTCATTCCATTATGGTATTGAATATATTGGTGAACTAAGTTATAGAGTATTGATTACTATGACCCAATATCTCACAATAATAGTGGAATGGAGGGCTGATCAAAATTAATAACCTTTGTCCGTTCATAGGGAAATATATATAGGTATATCTAGCTATAATATCTGTATATTTTTTATAGAGTTTAATTATAGCATTCTAGTAATTTTCCATATTGGCCCATAATATACCCTATTCTTGAGGATTCAATTCGATCACTCTTGTTATTAATCGGGAGGGTCATCGCTTTGTTGAAGCTATTCACCGCTATGTTGGCCCTTGTAATAGATTCATATAATAGGTATTAATGACCCAATACTATACCCTATTCTTAATGAGGGAGGGTAATCTGATTAATTTGGTCGGGATGTTCCTTTATTCCTATACGTATCATTTGATTATTGGTAGGGACTAGAGAATAACTAGGGTCTTTCTACCTTTTTCTGACAGTGGGTTAATATATCACTAGGCTAATGAATAAGGATAATGTAAGAGGATATGTCTAATCATTAATAGAGAATATATGATACCTCTCAATGAATATGAGCTAACTCTTAATGTGAATAAAAATATAGATATCTTAAGCCATTGTTTAGTAAAGGGTAAATATAGACCAATATATAAGGATACCCTCTGTTATCCTATTTGACCTAAATAGGATACCCGAATTAATATTTATTATTTCAATATATATTAAATTGAGTATCAACCTAGTTAAGAGTTATAATAGAGATATACTGTAGGGTTATTTATGATCATCTAATGAACCTTTACTTTGATTATTAGGATAAAAAAGGCCTATGTTGTTCATTGATTTAAATATTGATAATATCCATGATGTATTATGGATAATGTTAATGAGTATTTAAGGTAAAGGTATGCCCCCTCTCCCGGAAGGATAATATTAATTATTCTTCAACTATATTCATATAGAGTAATGGCCTAATATTCTTAATGGTATTATTCTTCAACTACATCGAGGTAGGCTAGTGCACGATATCATTAAACAATAGGGTAATTAACCTATTTAGATTTATTGTTATTAATTACTATATATATATATATATATATATCACCTATCATTGATGAGAGGCTTAAACAATATAGACATGGGTAGCCTAAATTACCCTTATTTACAATCATCTTAATTGTATCATCTATGAGAAAAACTATAATTTTCAACATGAACAACTATTTATTAGACTATTTGGAGATAGTAGAGTTATTAAAAATGATGACTTGGGGTATATATCCTTATATTCATAAAAGGGGCAAGTTAATCGTATAATTAAAGTAATTATAATTTTACGATATTGGAATGCTCCACTTGGATATAGGCTAACTTATCAATTGAGAAATATGGTTACTATTGTTAAATTGATGTCAATGAGGCTAACCAGGATTACTTGAATAAATAATCAATAGGACCAATGGGCGCATAGAGAGTTATCAACCATTTTCGGCCTATAATATCAACATATGAGTACCCTTTACTCTATTAAGGGGGTAAATAATTACTAATGTTTCACACATGGGTATTAAATCATCAAAGTGTAAATAGTCTCATGACCATCCGATTATTGGTTGTTCAATTACCATTTTTATTATATCTCCAAGTAATGTAATAATTAAAGTGATAATGAAGTGTGATAACATAGTTATATGAATAACTTAAGATACCCTAATGGGCTCCCTTGGGGTAAAGATGTTATATATTAGGTGCATAACAATATTTCCCTGCCTAACAATATGAGCTTTCCCGTATGATCGGCCTTTTTTACTACCTATAGCTCGGTTTAACTACATAGGGATAATCTATACCTAACATATTTAGTAAGTCCTATAACCTATAGGGAGATATAGAAGAGGTGTACTTATTGCCATATAATTTAATATGTGATAATATCAACCTATCGGACATTAATTTGGTAGTATAGGAAGATTACTCCTATATTTGACTAAAATGTGCATTATAATAAAGCTAATCTTATAGAGATATACGGGGTAATGGGTCAATTTTGTTATTTTACATATTTAATATCCCCTTGATGTTATAGGGAAGAAAATGTTTCAATATATTAAATATTGGGAGTGGACGAGTACCAATTTATTCATACCTTGTTTAGCCTAGCAAATAAATATAGGCTAGGATATCATGGTAATAATATTCTCTAAGGCCTTGGATAGTGGCCTTTACATGTTATATTCTCACCTAATTTTGGTCGGGGAGAAATCAATATTGATAAAATACTTGCCCCATACTCCCGAATAGATGATTATAAGGACTTCCCCTAATTAGGATGAAAAGGGTGACACAATAAAGAGTCCCTTATATGTTTTCCATGTTTCTCAACTTGTCTCTCCTCTATTTATATATTAGGGCAGTACTTAAAGAATATAATCGATGTATCACCACTCTTAAAGGTATATTGAATAATGAGGACCTTAGCTAAGGTTTTTATATGGTTGACTAGAATAATACCGAAATATACCTTAAATAAATGATAATATCTTTTTCTAACTAGGATAAGCTGACTTTTTTGTATTTTAATTTAGTAGGGCATATCATTAACATATTAATCTTTGTGCTGGACAAAGGCACTTTGTTAGTAAGGTACTATCGTCCCAATAATTGATGAAAATACTTATTGCCTTTTCCAAATAGCATATTAGTGCTAAAATATAATTTAATTCCCAAATATTCTCTAGGGGTGAATTCAGAGGTAGTGATAATATATCTTGTTGGGACATATTTAGTTCACATATACTTCAATTTTAGGATCGACCAAATCATAAATTAATGAAAATGATTTGATGCTATATGGCATCCTAATATGGGAAAATTATATGGTCCTATTGGAATTTTAGTAGATTCCCAATCCTCAATTGACATCTCAAGTATTGCTAGGTGAAATATAATCACCATGGTGAGCTATAGGGATCGTGTATAGAATATGGCGATAAGCCTTATATAGTTGGCCATTATTATGAATTATGAATAGATAAGAGTACATGTCCCTATACCTATTATTAACCTTTAAAAGTGGGAACAATCTACCTATTTCATGTTAGTATTAACCCCTATGTACTTAATCATCCTAATAATCTGTGAATCTTAGGGCCAACTATATAGGTTATGATAGTTTTCACCCTATTTTATTTAAGGTGGACAATATAACTCCTATTTAGTTATGAGAAATTATATAGTATTGGTATATAATGAGTAGTCCATTACTAAATGTAAATAAAACGTTAAATTTAAAAAGAGCATAGGATGAATATCACAGAATATCTCCATAGGATGGTTTAACTAATTATAGTTGTCATTGTATTATAGCTATTAGCCACTTCATTACTATTATACTTATATTCACATTGAGGATATCTTTTACTTGATATGTGCATCAATATAATTAACTCATACGGAGATATCCTATTTATAAAATCAAGAAGGATTTATGGTAGAGATAAGTAAGGGTTATACTAATCCATGGTGGCTAAAATATTTATTAGGGGCTATTACGTCTTACTAAGTATAATAGAATTGAATTTAATTGATAGATCTAAAGACCATGATGGCAAATCGTTGGATTAGAAATTAATATGATAGAATACAAAAGGTTAGATAAGAGTATATACTGTTATTCAATTAATTTTAGTATCATCCATGCTTTGACATATTAATCGATAAATAGTATGGATGATTATCTATATGAAGACAAGTACTTTAATCTAAGGTATAATAGTAAGTCAAACATTAGTTCACCTCTACAAGATTTTGATAACCCAATCATTATAACATGGTATACCAAATGCTACTAACATATAGCGAATATTTATTTGTCTTATACCTAATACAAATATTGTGTCTGACTTACTATTATACCCTAGATTAAATAACATTTCACCATTATCATGGTTACTAGAGTAGGCCTAAGGGTATATAAGAGTAATGGTTAGAAGAAAGTTATCCTAGGATAACTCATGCTAGAGGTCATGAGAAAGGTTATAAAATTATAAAACATCCGGGTAGTAAGAATAGTCCTTTATAATATTCTCTAGAGTCCTTAATAGATGATATAGCCCAACCTTAAAGAACATTGGGCACAATACTATCCATTTACTCAGCTATTTTCTACATAATATTACCCCACATATAAGCCATATAATATAATCGAGTGCTCGGTTTATAATTAGAAATTAACTATGACCCCTTACCCCATGTTATTTAATACATTATTTGACAAACCCCGCACCAACTTTATATAACTGATCATGAGAATAGTATAACTAGCATAATATTTTGAATAGTATGCGATACAAACCTGCATTACCAAGAGGCTTATTTTATACTCATTATCTAGAAACATATTAAGGGGAGTAATAGTGACCTTATATTCTCCATAAGGACAATGATAATATTAATACTAGCATGAGTATTAACTCGGATTGAACCACTTGATAGTCTCTCTAGTTAATCACAAAAGGTAATTCGTAAACTTCCATAATATTATATAAAGATACAACAATATCCCGATTGATCGTTCATAGGATCATCATAGTTTATAAGTAGGCTCTCGTAATTAAAATATTTTAGTGAAACATATGGACAATTATAAAAGGTTATCCGATTAATTTGTAGAGAAGCTATTATTACAATTCGAATAATATCAAAGTCTCAAATATTATGCCTAATATATTATATTAGGATATCTATTTAGCCCTAACTAAAATATTTTTAGTCGTGGCTAATGACATGTTCCCCTCGTAATTAGTAGGGTATCCATTGCTATAAATTGGTAATTTATAATTATGGTTATTAGTTATACCCATAATTACATTGATATTCCAATACTATGGGCTATCCATAGTCTATTAGCCATTGTCACCCAATTTGAGTTTGAGTCTATATAGTCCATTATCTAAAAATAATTCTATAATCGGCTACTTTTAGAGTGTAATCCGAGTAATATGAGAACAATATTCGAATCATCTATAGTTAGAATAATAGGTAATCTTAGGTACTTCACTATAATTATACTATGTTGCTAGTTCCTTATTAGGTATGAGTATAAAACATTATGCTCTATCTTTATAATGGGTAAAGACATTTTAGATACACCATACTCATTATAATGATAGGATATGTGACATAATACTTGATATGGGAAAGAGAGGAAAATATTAATTTATAATATTTAGTCCATATATGAATTCCCTTAACCTAAAGTGATTATCGTTCCTTTACCTTTGGTTTATATTAGGGTTGTAAATATCCTATGATACTATAAGTATCAAATATTGGCATATACATGATTATCCTTGGTAAGTACCTTTGTATATTGAAGGCATAACTACCTTATATTCCATTGAATATCATAATTTGAGGTAATATCCCGTCATGTTATATGATTAATCCGAGAACATTTGATTGATGTATAATATGAGTTAGTAATCTATATTGATCGTGTACCTAATAGATGAAATTTATAATAGACTAGAATCAGTAAAGTGTCCTTAATACATATTAGTGAGATACCATTTAATAGGTCCTTGAGATTGGTGATAAAATTAGCCTATATTCCATCAAATATCAACTATAAATTATTATACTCTACTATTAATAGACTAGTAAAATAGGTACCATAGGGAGTACTATGGTATACCCACTATTTTAGATAATCCCCAATTGATGAGTGCTAATTATGGTCATGAGAGTATCCATGATATAATGCTTAAGTCTAAAATTGTTAAATACTTATCCATGCGTGGGACCATACATCCCTTTATTAGACCTACCAATATCCATAACGAAATTTCGGATTAAATGTTCTTTTGAATTTACATAAGCCTCGTTATTCTCATTATTTCCTCATATCAGACAGTCTATTTGGTCTTAAATTATAATACTCAAACAAAGTATATCATAACTATAGGTAACTATTAATTTGCGGATTAGTACTATTATATTCCCTCTCTTGGTTTATAACCTATATTGTGGAACACCCTCTCTATATGATGTGTCACCATCTTGAGGAATAGAGAGGATTTATCAATTGTTTACATACATAATTTGTATTAATATAAAGGGTATACTTATATTAGAGTATTAATGTTTGACTTACTAGGGGAGAATCCCAATCGCTAAACATACAAGCTCATGTTTTATCTAGCACAATAACCTTGATAATTATGCCCTAATTATGTACTATCCTATCTTGATAATCTTCTAATAGGTTTGTATTTCATAAAAGGTTAAATATCATGATAATCTTCTATACTAGCAATATTTTAAGTGGACCAATTAAGATAGGATAATACATAGTTAGGGCATAATTATCAAATTTATTATACCATGTTTCATATTTAGTTCCCCTATATGTGTCTAATCTAATTAGTTAATGTAATTAGACCATTACTTATAAAAAGACTATTCTGATAATTATCAACTTTCTATGTTAAATATATAATTAACCTAGGTAAAATCATATCCCCATTGATATTATATTATAGAATAGGCTCCTAATAATATAGTGACATGTATTATTGATTCAATATACCATAAATAGATTAATTATACCTCGTAATATCAAAACATTATGTTCCCTTTTGGGTATGGTATGGAACCATATATCCCATGATCACCTAGGGGATATTGGTAGTTAAAATATACTCTACTTATCACTAGTAGTTCATAATTAAGGGTGTTAATAGACAATATATTTAGGGAAACTGTAGGGATGTCTAATTAAAAAAACTATTGTTCTCATTTAGTTATGATGGTTAAATCGTATAATCATAGGACATTACTAAAATATACTCCTATCAATGGAGACCATATAATATTATGGCCAATACTTATATGTGTTACCAACCCTATTAGCCATAACACCCTTACTCATGGGATAACCGAACGGACTATGTTATCGGCTTAAATATAGCCCATCTATTAGCATAATAGTGTTATCTAAATATGTATATCCATTATTGATATCATATTATTAGGATCTATTATATAAATGGAATAGCATTTATGCGTTATATACTATTTATCATATCTAATAATCTCATTGTTACTTGTTTGATATTGTTCTTTTCACTATGATATTGTCATAATGGTGTATACTCCCCATGATGCCTTGTATAAAATTATTATGATGGTCAACTCTTATTAGGATGAATATAAGGTAATAACTTCGTATCAATATAGGTCCATAGAAAGTTGTCCAGAATGAGCATTTTAGCGACCGATAGTGTTATAACTAAGTAAACATCACCCTTAAGCTAAGGGGTATATCTCTTTACTCTAACATATTTTGATTATAAGTTATGGTTAGAAATATATACTAGTATAAAATTATAGGTTAACCATATGGTTATTATCTATAAGATAAACTTCATATAAAGGGGCATTTTTCATTATGGATATTAGTACTTCACACCTGATTGAGTTGTAAAATTAATAGTATACTATACACTATTTTCTTCTAGTTATAATTGACCAAGATTGTTATGGATTATATAATTGGATATATCAACAAAAGACTTTATACCATTATGGTGTAATATAGAGTGAACTTCTAATTCATTTCAAAATTGTAAGATGAATGTTTATTAAGTTATTTAAAGGTTAAAATGTCATGTTACTATATTCCTTTTGAGAGAGATTGGTAGTAATTAAGCAAAGGTGTCCGACTTAGGGATAACCAAGGGATACAAGCGATCCCACTTATTATATCAAGCATTTCCCAATTTTAGATTACGGTATAAAGCTATAATCATATCCCGTTATTGGATTCTTATAGCTATGGTTAAAGAGTCTTGAGGACTCTATAACAAATAATTACCCTATGATAGCTAAATGGAGGCGTACCTTGTGTATGGTGGGTATTATGTTGGGATATATATAGACCTTGTTTACTAATGGGGATTAGTAATCCCTAAATATAACCCTAGACTAATGGATAGTAGGATATATTCATAATGTATAAAATTCTAATTTGATAAATATTGTAAGTTATTATACCTCCTAAACAATAGGCAGTACTAAACATATACTTATCATATAGAATACATAATCAATTATATTCATCTTAGTGGATAGGTTAACGAGTACTATCATCTTAACCATAACAATTATGGTTATTATCTTAAATTACCAAATTAATAGGGGTAATTTAACTCATAATATACCCCTAATATCAAGGGAATGGTATAATTAAACTCTATGAAATATATATAGATATTATAGCTAGATATACCTATATAAATTTCCCTATGAACGAGACAAAGGTTATTAATTATGATCAGCCCTCACCTAATTAATGATTATACAAATAAGGTAACAATACCCTATATGAGATATTCAATTAATATCTCTTTAAGAGTAAGGGATATCCTTATTATATACAAATTATATTAGTGTTGACTTAAGGGGTTATGATATTGTATTACTAATATCATTATTAACATATTAGGGTTATCTAAGGGGTAGCCATTTGATAAAAGAATATATAAATATTGGCGAGGGGTGACTAATAAAATTTGTAGCCATGAGTAAATTATCTCATCAAAATCTCTCATCTAGTTAGGAGGACCTTGGTTCTTCTCTCATCAAGTTACTTAAATTATCTATAGCCTAAACATAAAGTAAATTTTGGGTATCGGTCCCATTATTACTATATGGTCATCCTTTCTTCCTCCTCTTTATCAAGCCCATTATTTGCTTGTGATAATAATGCCATTAGCTATTTTATTTCATAAAAAAAAATAGCTAATGATATGGAATAATAAGAGCCATTATAGTGACGGGATATAACAATAACTATTAAATCATAGTATGATCAACCTTAGGTTACTACTATTAGTAGGGTCCCTCTCTAATAATATACACTATTATACTATAATTAATGATTAAATTACTAGGAGATAATTTAGGGATAATCCTCTTATTCTAATACAATGCTATAATTAGAAAGGGTGGATAAAAACGATTAATGTACATTATGAATAGGGAAAATATATCATTCCCTTGCATATTATTAGCATTTACAATATGAACCTCCTTATAATGGTATAAGAAAATTTATTAGGATTTGTTCTATTATCCGATAAGATAATATGATCCATAATACATACAAGTTACTGTCATTCCGTGAGTTATAAATCTAAATAATTAAATAGGTATCAAACACATAATGATTAAACACATTGCTAATATGGACGAGTCCCTATCCATTGATTACTTTTAACTAGAATTTATTATGTTCCATGTTTTATCCCATAATAATACTATCTAGGATATGTCCCACTAAATCTTGTTAGCATATTAACATGTTTAGTTAGAACCATAGGATAATAAATCACTCAAGGATATATACTATTGATATTTTACCTAATTGGACTAGTGTTATATATCCGTGAATATGGGCCATAATATTTGTCATGATATATGTAACCATAGAGTACATTAATGATATTATCTAATAATTGGACTTCTATATATTAGGGTAATGATGATAACCATGAATATCAATTAGCATGGACATATCGACTATAGTCTCCCCTACTTATCATGCCCACTTATAATTATTTTGAGATAATATCCTTTTCTAACTAGGTAGTGTTCATAAACCTATCGGGGGTTATAATTTAGCCATTTATCTCTTGATAGGGTAAACAATAACATATATACCTAACTAGTATTATATTTCTCTTGGTTATATAGGTGACAAGGAAGGGTCTCTAGAACGATAAACTTAGCCCAATAACTTTATACAATGGGATAAATAATTATTATAATAATATATTATAGTAAAATGTTTGATTACCCATGGTTAATCACCTAAGTTACCCTTATTTCTTAATTTGGGAACAATATAATAGTTACAATTATCGGGAGAGAGAGTGTTACCTTATTAATGGGCTATTATAGGTATTGTTATATTAAACCTAATCTAAGGTTATACACATTAACTATCAACATACTTAAATATTAATACTAAAAGGATCCCAACATACTTAAATATTAATACTAAAAGGATCCCATGATATTGGGAACTAACCTTAGATTGGGAATTAAGTTATAGGTCAATTGATATTCATTATAACCATATATTTATAAGATTACCAATATTATGGAGGGATATATATATGACATATCATCTATTGCCCATATATTTACTAGTAATTCATGCCTAAGCTATGATTTAGGTAGGCTAATGGATACTCGTTAAGTTATCTAATACTCTAGAGGTAGTATCTACAATAATTGGCTCCCTTATCGATTACATGGTCAACTCATAAAGTGGGTCTAATAAACTCACATTAATAATTTGCATGTTTGAATACCAAGTGAATTTGTACACTTACCATTGATGACAACATTATAAATTAAGGTATATAAGGTCCTAGTTATTTTGGAATAATTGTAACTTAATATCCTCATTGATCCTATATATGGGCGTTCTCTATAGAAGGCCTATACTATTAATGACAGGAAATGTAATCCTTAACTAGAAGAGAGGGGCATGAGGTTTAAATAATATTTTACTCATTGAAGATAGCTCAATATCAATCTATTATGGATATAATTATTATTACAATAGGGTAAGATATTGAGGCCTATCAAGTTAAAACGTATGGATACTTCAAGATGGGAGTTAATTAGAAACCCACATCATTAAAGTTAACATATCACCAAAGGGATTAATCAATAATTATTGATTAGATACATCCTAGTAGATAATAATGTATCAAATGGATAACCCAAAGTGATATATGTTATTTAGTTATGTAGTAATGTTATCCACCTTGGATAGATTATCTTGTTCGTTACCGGGAGGCTTATTATTAATAAAATAATATTGTTAATTATAATGCCTAAGATAGCCTTAGTGTGAGACATGGATATATAGGGGAAACATAAGGATAATATGATTATCCTTTTGGAAGCAATAAGGGTAACTACAAGGGATAATTGTATCTCTAAGAACCTCTAAGGTATATGAGTAGGGTAATGAGTCCGATACATCTCTTTTAACTATCTTGGAAATTCCATAAGTTATCCAAAAATATAATTAGCCCATATTTAAAATATGTTATTCCTCCTAGTGAGGTTAATATGGAGGGATTGCCCAAAGGATCACTCTATAGTCTATTAGGAAGATTATCCTAATAAATCTATCCCACTTGGGTTTATGATTATCCCTATGTTTCATGGATAATAATCTTATAAATAATATTATAAATATATGGCTGTTACTTTGACTAATAATGTATTATAACACTATTAGCTACAATTAATATGAACTTATGCAGATAATGGCACTCGATGTCCCATATTATTGTAATAGTACTCGTCCGAATAGATGTCCTATTGAGACATCTTAGGTCAACAATAGGATTTATTATTATACCATCCCTATTTATTTGGGATGGGGACATCAATTAGTAATGCCTAATATACTAATGGTTCCTTATACTATACGCCTAATATATGATATGAGACCAATAAACCATTAGCTTATTGGAAATCCTATGATACATTAATAGGATATAATTACTCGGATAATTTATAAGTATTAACCTATTACACTAAATATACTATTAATCCTCATTATGTTAATAATGGTATTGGGAAAATTAGCCTAATCTAGTTCAATCACTCCAGCTTAGGTTCTTATATATATATATATATATAACATTAGCACACTCTATAAGGTATACTTGGACAATCATAATATATTAGTATACATCTTTATAAGGATTATTGATATTATAGAGTAAGTGAAGTCGGATTAAGTATATTGTAGGGTCACCAATATTAGCATCCCTAACCTTGTCCAGGGTTAATATCTAATGTATCCAACATGATTTATCCACGAGCATAGCCTCATTTGATCCCAAGCACAACTAAAGGAAAGGCTACCCATGGTCCCATATAATAGTTATCTGAAGTATACTTGTCATTAGTTAATGTAGTTCGTTAATATGGGACGATTGAACCATACTCTTATGATTAATCTTATTGCCCAAGGGAATCTAACAATGGATTAGTATAACCACTATAATATTTGGTTATTCATGACACAATCAATTATTTGTATAGAGTATTACATTTTTTTCTCTACTAATACCTCCTAATGTGAGTGATCATACATTTATAAAAGTAGAGTATTCTCCCATTAATATTTAAGGCCAATACTATTAATAGCTATATCATATAATGTAAGGTCCTCTTAAACCATAGGTAGTACTTAAATCTGAAATAAGTGGCCATAGTATGAGTATTAATATGATTCACTATTAATAGTATTACTCATTATCAATAAAGTAATGACCTAATATCTATAACTATCCCTTAAATTTAATCAAAGTATGTTTCTATTTAACTACTTACTACTATGGTATTATTAAATATTTTTTATCCCTATTAATATTAATGATTAGCCATGTTCATCTCCTCTTTTAGTATCATTAAATGATTGTCTTTAAGTTATTCATATAATTACCATTATTAAATGGGTCTTTAAGCCATAATTCAGCCATTTTATCTTATTAATACCTAATATTGAACATCAATAACCAATAATTCTCTTCTATTGTCAATATTAGGCTACTATGTATACTTCTAATTGCCCAAAATACTTATTTTATAGAGGTGGGATTATAATATAGGGGATTCAAGGTAAAAAATAGTTGATTATAGTTATGTGAATGAAATTATCCCTATATTATTCTCCCTCCATTCTAATATTGGTCATTTTCCCAATATGCTTTTTTTTATGAATATAATCTATCAAAGTATCAATAGGTCCCTATTTATTAATCTTTAAGGTACCTAATCTATTTTATTGTGTGAAACTATCCTCTTTACATACAATGATTTAATTGTAACTCGAATAGGCTCTAAAAAGATGGTAACTGTTCCTTAACCATTATGATTACAACTCATATATTCATTAGTATTAATATACATATAAATAGGTGGTTTCTCTAGTTGATCACATAGATTACTTTGGTGTATATTCTTCAATAAACATAGGATATCCCTATCCACAACTCAATCATAGTTTCGGCTAGATAATATGATCCCTAATAGGATAATTCAGCAATGTTAATCCAATGAAAGAGTTTATAAGATCAAATATTCTTAATACATATGGTATAGCAATCATTGTAATCAAAGATAATAGGGCCCTTATGTCACTAGATTATATCTTATTTAGGATATAGCACTAAATATACTATTGTACCAATTCAAGGTATTCATAATGTATAAAATTTAACCTTGGTTATTATAGTAAGACTGTTGGTATATCCCCTAGTAAATTTAACCTTTGTTATACCTAGAATATTACCTCATTAATATTCCACTTGGTGGCATATACCTTGATAGATTAGCCTACAATTTTATCAATTTAATACTCATCACTTAATCGGATTTACATATCAATATATAGAGTTCATAATGGTCATAGATATTGAGGGTTAAGACCAATCTTACATTTTGGTAATATCCATTAAACTATTCATAACCACTTTTATGTTTATAGTTCTATTAACTATAGTAAAATTCTATAATTTTTAATTTAGGGCATGTTACATGTAGACTTTATCTCGGATAACAATTGTTGAATTCCCTATCTCTCTTCATTTTATACTAGTGATGAGTATGTCCAAACAGGGAGATGGCTCTATTTGATTATTAGATTAATAGTATGAGGGCATATGTATATTAAGGAACATTTGATACTGGATTGAATATAGATTGATAAGTATATGTTTAACCCTACTAATGAGGTTAATATTACTAATCCTGTCTTCCCACGGTTATTACCCTTATCTATATGATATTTACCAACTATCCCAATAATCCTAGTAAAATTATTCGTGCTCTCTTATTCTTAAATATAGATCCATATAGAGTTATAATGATTATAATGGCTAATGATATGTTGATATATTGCTATAATGTCTATTAATAGTAGAGTATTAATAAACAATGGTGCATGCTGTTGGCATAATAGTTATAAACTATGTAATTAATATATGTCCCTAGTTTATATTGTATAACCAACATCGATGGAACATTGTTATAGAGGTATAGTATATAATGTATTTAATATACTTACAATTTTAATAGTGGGATGGCTATAAGGATTTGGCCTATCTTATGATTAGATGTTATTAAATTAGCTTGATTATAGGTTATAATAACTTACAGCTTAACCCCTAAATATTATATGCTATTATCTATAAGGTCGAGGAACATTAATACTCATAGAGGAGGATTAAAATAGTCAATGAGGACCATCCTCATTAGCTGACCATATTAGGCCCTCTAATCATCAAATGGGGTAAATATTATGTATTGACCCTTAGAGAATATGCTCCCTTACCCTATAGACTAATTTAATATTTGGTGGTTACATTTCTTAAGAGGAAATAATGAGTTAAGATATTTTGTAAACCCTCACTAAATGACTAATCCTCAAATGTAAGCAAACTAGTAATGTCTTTATTGTTAACTCATTCTCTCTAGCTATTTAAAATAAGCCTATGTAATTGGGTCATTAGGTTAACCTTTAACTCATTATTTGGCTAGATATTAACCATTTTCTATTAATATAATAAATGATTTAAATTATCACCTCACTCTAGAAGGTGATAATACTATGTTGATTCATCTCCTTAATTCAATCTATAATGATCGATAGAATTTAAGTGAATGCTTGGTTTATCTTGGTAATAGTGATATGATTATAGCTAACCTTTATAAATATAATAGGGATAGGGCTATTAAATAAGCAAATTCTTAGAGGGATTCATGCTATTAGCAATATATTAAGTGCATTATCACCTTTAATTACGCCAATAGTGATGTTAATATTTTATCCGTGGTGACACTATTAATAGTATTACTATGAATTACCAATAATGTCAATAGTACCTCTAAAAATAGTAACTCTATATAATTAACCTAGGTAACAATGATTTTATAGACATGGTTCATGTTCACCCACATTTCATTTATAATCATGGATAGAAACCATTATCTATGCATAGTTAATATTAAAGGTATTTACTAATATTTATACGAACTATACGATAATTACCCTAGCTATTATTTTCTCCCTATCGGACATTATAACCCTTTAATCATATATTAATTTACTACCTAGCAATATTGATCAACCTAATAGTGGCCTCTAATAAGGGTAATATTGTCTACTTATAAGGATAAATATATTACATCATGTGGTCGACCTTATATAGTGGGTATACTAGCAATGGATACTCTTCAATGAGGGCTATGAATAAGTATATACTAATATATATTTCCCTACTCTCATATATGCTCGACTTAATAGCTTTATATAATATATTATAATATTAGTAATCTTCCCATCTATTAATATCGGGCCATACTCTATCGAACTAATCATGGATAGTTCGGGTAATGAGATGGTATTAATAGGGAGACTATTAATGGGCACAACCAAAATAGTATATGGTTAATCCCTATACTATTGTAGGTCTATATAACCAGATATCGGGATAGGGTTATATATTTACTAGTGGGTATAATATACATAGGGGCATGCTATATTACCATCTACTAGGAAACCCAAATTATTATTATCATAATAATTTCGTGCTCTTTTATACTACAATGTGTATATATCCATAATATATAAGAATTTATTTAATATCTACCAGTAAGATAATACCATGGTTTATCATAAACCCCTCTACGCCAAAATAGAGAGAATGTTTATATTTTACGAAATAACTATTAATAGATAGAAATATTTTAATTCACCTAACATTAATGGTTATTTAAACAATTATTTCATATTGTAAGGTCCTCTTTCAGCATTTGCATATTTGGAAGTTTAAGTTCAATAGTATGGGAGTTTAAGATATGACCAAGTATGATTTCCAAAAATACCCACATGGAAGTAATCATTTTAAAATGAGGAACTTCCTCTAAAGTTCAACTAATTTGTTATATGATGAATATTCTTGCCTATTAATTGGGATTATCGACTATAAATTCATTTACGATTATAGAAAACATGATAATTATATAATCCTAGTATATGAGAGGGCAATTTGGTACAAACCAATACTTAGTTAAGAAGGAATCACTATCTGGTTTGCTAATTTAATAGGCTATTACACCGTACTAGCATTTCATCATATATACCGGCAAGAAATCCTAAAAAATACGATGATATTAAGAGGGGTTTATAGAGGGAACATATCTTAATTAGATCAAGTCTTCATTATTCCACTATCTCTCCCTAATAGTCTAATTGCTTAGAGCTCTCTATCTCATGAACACTCCCTATAAATGGTACCGATCCATTTATTATGTACTTTATTCTATAAATAATGCCATCCAACCCTAGATATGAATCTTAACCAGAGAGAATAACCCTTACTCTTATTTGAAAGATCACCTACCATGAGTGATCATACATTTATAAATGACCATTAGATATTACTTAATAGATTAATAGGCACAATTGCTACTATAAATAACTAATTATCATTATTTGTCCATTGGTAACTGGTATCCCCAAGTATCATAATACACCCCTTCATATAATTGTATGATAATATTTCATTTACTTAGTATATTTGGTAATCGGTTAACTAGGGTACGCACAACATAACGGTATAGCACTATAAAAGGTTATGAGGAATTCATGGGGAAATATTATCGGACATATAATCTCCACAATGGTCAAGGGATACCTTTACCTAGGAATAATCCTCCTTTAATTTATACCTATATTACTTAACCTTTATAGCCAACTCATAAAAAAAAAAACTATTAGTGTTATATTAGGATAAAGAGATTGTATCTTGTCAATTAATTAAACAATAAGGACTAACCAAGTAATCCCACCTATGCTAATATCGAGTAAATTGACCTTAAATGTTGTTGTACCATAATTGGATGTTTCATTAAACTATTAGAGTGAGAATAGGCTCTATAAACCTCATAATACATGGATATTATGGAGACTACGTTAATATACTATAAATAATTACCTATTCGGGGGCATTAGTTTATAAGGTCAAAATCATCCAACATAGTGATAATAGTCCATAAATTCCCATAATATCATAATTATGTCCCCGTATTATCATATAATATTAATAGGTCCGAGTGGCATATCCCATTACTCTAAAATGGTAAATGTAGCTATCAAATATATAGCTATTATTACAATAAGGATTGGTTGTGACTAGGTGATTCCATCAATAGTTTTCAAAAGGGATATGATAGTTGTTCAATACTAAGTGTTAATTCCTAAAATTTAATCTTATATATATATATATATATATATATATATATATATATATTTGCATAAATAGTATACTTAATAAGTCACTTATCATAATTGTTAATAAGGAAACTTATGTCCTCTAACAATATACTTTTCTCTTTCTATTGCTCAAGCATACTATTTATTTCCAATTAGAAGTAATTCTCATCAAATCTATAATAGTTCAACCCATTATAATAGTTTGATTACATTTAGTACAAACCAATACTTGGTTAATAAGGAATAACTAATCCCAATATGAGACTCAATTGATAGTCACAATAATGCCATGATATCCTAATGAACTCATTGGATAGCTAACATGAGAGGGAGCCTCCACTTAGATAACAATGAAAAACAATATCCCCGTGAAATTATATACTCAAATTATGTACAAGGGTTATTACTATGGATCAAGGGTAGATGAGATAACCATATATTAAGTGTACATCTTTAAATTATAATCTATAAGATACCCTATAAATGAATCGGGAAGATATTTACCATAATGTTCAACCATTACGTATATGGTAATTAATACGTATTCCCTTCAACGAAAAATATAGACTCTTAGTTTAGCTATCATATCCCTAGACTAAGATATGGAATAATTCTAAGTGAAGGTGCCTTATGGAGAATAACTTGATTGAATAACTTTTCTATGAGTATCCTTCATTAGACACTTATTAACGGAGTGACTACTTTTATGACCCTATCACAACCCTAGTTTGGGCATAAACTAGAATATAGGTCCTATTTAAAGTCATAGAAGTGTATTATTATAATTAATCACATCTTTATAGTTAACTATATATATAGCCCTCTAATTTGTCACAACCTTAGCCATATATAAGCACTATTAGTTGATTACTTTCATTAATGGTCGAAACTCAATTATAGGGAGAGGGATTGGTAGTAACAACTTGAGGTACTCTCAATTGGATTCACATAGATTAAGTGAGAAATCTAATTGATTATGGTTGCCTCAAGTTAAACTCCGATCTCATACCTAATATATTAGTGGTAGATAGTTGAAATATGGTGATGTTGGTGAAACCTTTGTAAAAATAATCTCCAAAAGAGACCTCATAATATGTGAATCCAATTGAGAGTGATAGGGGAGACATGTATTCATAAGGTTATTGTACCTTTGGGGGCAAGACTATTCATTAGTTTCCTCCTATAAAAGGATAGCCCACCTATCGTTTGTACTAATAGGGCACTATTATCACAAGTCTCAGCTTTTTACAACCCTAGTCCTTAATGATGCCGATGGCCCGTTATCTTTAGGTGAAGTGGTATTTAGAGTCTTTTAACACATTAATTCTAGCTAATTGACCTAATACTAGCATCTCTCCACAAAACGTTTGGTATTCATCTTATTAAAGAGTTTTATTCTAAACTCTCAATTCTAGGCTTGACTATAATTATGTCCCATAATCGGACTCGTTTTATATACGTAATTATGAGGGGTATTCTCTTAAAATATAATATGGTTTATATAATCTAGATTATTAATACTTTATAAAGAAGGGATTCCTCAGTGGCCTTTTCTCGTCATTAAATTTGGGATTAATTATCCCATATTTACCCAATGGTGTCTTTATTCATAAGTACTCTACGTGATAATAGTATATTATTCAATTACTTATATAAAGGTGATTTGGCATATATAGGCATTTCAACTATATGGAAGATAAACCATTAATGATAAATGGAGATATGGACCTATTGCACATCTTGTCAATTAACATGAGTAAATTAGACCTACCAATTTACTCCTTAGGTATATTGCATTAAGGAGATGTATATCATAATTAAGATTATACTTGAATGAGCTATTGTAATGGATAATCTTCATTTACTAGGTTATGGTTATAACGATCTCGTAACAAGTAATAATCGAGTACAACCTCAATTCTATTACTATCTAGTAACTAGACATTGTTGGCACCAAAGGGTTATTTCTCTCTTTTAGGACCACTACGAGTAACCTATTCCAGTTATTCTAGGCCCCGGACACACTATCGACTAAGACTATGAATTGTCTAACTTCACTCTGTCTAAATAGTAATGACTTCCTCCATCTCACTACATTATCATGTCAATTATAGGAACTTGCTAACTAGAGAGTGGTCCAATTTGATATTGGCTCAATTATTTGTCCATGGTAGTAGGGTTGCATCTATAATTAACCCTATACTTACCGATGTAGGCCATCATCTATTTAAGCCTATATAACATAAACTATAGTGTTTTTGGGTTAACTTCAATATTATATGGTCCTTATGTAGGCAAATGAGTCCTCTTAATATATCACCTATTTATCCTATGGAACAAACATATAAAGACCACTTTCAAAATATTAGGCAAAAGGTCCATGCCTAGCGCCTATTGTCATTTAGATAATAGTACTCGTTCAATATAACATAGGTGTCTCCCATCGAATTATAGATGAATTCCATGTGGGCCATTGATAACTTATAGTGAATGGCCCATATGGAATTCGTTCTCTCAATGGAGCACTAGTGTATATTATCCCTAATCCCACATAGGTCTAATGAGTGGGCAATCATTGATGGCCATGTTTATAATATTGGTACTAAGAGGGAGTATTAAATATTCTCTTGTAAGACTTGCTTAGAACCAATAATCATAATAAATATTGGGTATATATCAAACAATCTAGCCTATATGTATAGTTCCTTAAAGAATCCAAGGAGGGTGATTCGGCTTATTACTATCAAGCTTTTCACTCCAATATCTCCCTCCTTCTATCTATCTCCCTCTTTCCTCCTTTGTTGGGTGTCTATATCAATTAATTTAATATGGTCGTCACGATAGTTTTCGCCATATAGTATAAGGATATCCATCTCACTCCCTTTTTAAAATAATTGAGAGGGATATCCTAATACCCTAGCTCCCTATTATTTTATCCTTCTAATCCTCTACTTAAGCAAAAGGTATCAATGTCTCTTTATAGCCAATAAGAAACTCTATATTTATCCCTTATAGGTCAAATAGCAATTCATTTCCAACTTTTGATCCATTACAAGAGTTGGAATGAAAATAATATTGGATATACTAGATTGGGCATCTAAGTGTTAACCAAATATAAGCAAGTCGAAGCAATTATTACCTCTAAATTTTCACTAACGATCAATAGGTATAATTATACCTAAAACTATGACATTATATCGGAGGAGGAAAAATTAACCAATGGATAATAACCATACTATACTATATAATTATTGTTTAATGTTATTTAGCTCTAGGATACACAATAATTATATTTTCCCTCAACTCATTTATATGCATGGTATATATTGGAATGGGTGAATGGATAAGGATGAAATAATCACCTTACACCTTTATGTCTTAGGACGTTTAACGATCTCATTTATATGCATTAGTGGTTGTCTCACATCTTTCAATCAATCACTATTATAAATGCATATCATGAGGACTTCTATCTAATTCTACTAAATTAATAAACATAACACATAAGAATTAATATACAACACACGTATGGCAACCCCAATACTATAACTATCTCATAATATTGGGTACAAAATCCTTTTAACGTGGGACCCAAAGAATTAAAATTTAGGGAGATTGGCCTAGGGGAATCCTAAGGCTAATGATAATCATATTGTAGTTCAAAAAAGGTGTATCTAATGCAAGAATACAAAGAGAGGGTACTATTATCACATAATGGTCGGTGCATATCCATTGTCCACTCTATAGTGAGAGCCTCTAACTTGTTATTAACTTCCTTTCTCTCCCTCTCCCTCCCTCTCCCTCTCTCTCTCTCTCCTACCCTCTCTTTCCCTCCCTCGCTCTCTCCCTCCCTTCTCCTCTCTTTGTCTCCCTCTCTCCCTCCCTCCTTATCTCTCTCTCTTTCACCCTATCTCTACCTCCCTCCCTCCCTCCCTCCCTCTCTCCCTCTCTTTCCCACCCTATCTCTACCTCCCTCCCTCTCACTCTCTCTCTCTTTCTCTCCCTCAATTGGAATAAGGTGCAAAATAGAAAGGAGGGAGAGGGGGAGTGAAAGAGAGATAGGGAGAGAAAGAGAGAGGGAGAGAGGGAGGGAGGTAGAGAGAGGGTGGAAGAGAAAGGGGGAGGGAGAGGGAGTTAATGGTTTGCATCATCTCAAAACGTCCCACTAGATAATCAACCCCCTAGTTATACTCTCCTCCTATTATAGCTTATTTTAGGGAGCCTACTATAATCCTTCTAGTTCCATGATGTTATGAGTTTGGATGGTGAGTGTTCATTTAGAATAGGAAAAGGAAAGATATTTTAAAATTGTTTATAAATGGGCTATTTCCCTTCCTCGCTATCATGAGCCCGAAAAGAATTATAGGACAAGCCAGGGAAGTTACCGAAAGATATAACTCTATAGAATTCAATGATATTTTAATGATAAATAAATGGATGCAAAGTAACATTAAAATGGCTTAATGATTATCTAGTTAAGGGAATACATTAGCACATAAATCCTATATTTAGGCCAATCGAACTCATGCTCTACATAATATAAGACATATTGAGGAAAGAGCCTAAACTATAGATCTTACTACCATCTAACAAGCATGGAACTCATTCAACTTTATACACATCATAATTGTTAATATTAATCCCTAAATGCATTAAAATAGCCTCATAAAAATTATTAAATATATGAATAAAGTATTTAGTAGGAGAACATGCTTGGTAAAATTTTGGTTTTTCTTAAATCTTTCAAGGGTGTTCGACAAGGAGATCCATTATCAACTCTATATACTAGTTTATTGGCCTTGCAAGGAGGTACTAAATTAAGATATTATATATTATTTTTGGATGTTTTGATCCCCTCCATTGAGTTACCAAATGCACTATCATTAAAGGTTATGTGATAAGCACATTCTCCTCTTGCTTGGTTGAACATAAACCCATATACATCTCTATGTATAAGGTCTTTCTTAATTAGTAACTTTTTCTCCTTTTCAACTAAAGAAATATTAGTGAATAAGATGCTAAGTAATCAAGATTATCTTGACTATTAACCAATTTATATGATATCATCTCCCACTCTCTCAAATTCTCATTCTCCATGAATTAAGAATAATTTTAGATAAATTCTCGTGGGGAATGGATTCATTGAAGGCGGGAACTTGTCTAATCTAAGTTGAATATATTATTATAACAATAAATATAATAAGTGAATCCTCTAATGTATATGCGGACCAAATTGGGTCAAGGAGAATTGCTAAGATTGACCATGCCAAAGTAAAAGGTATATTTATTTGGGTCTTAGATAGGGTATAGTTCAATGGATCCCTTCAGTCCCATTTTTTAGGTCAATCTCCCTCCATTGGTATGATAGAGAGGGGAGAGAGAAAAAGAGATGAGGGATAGAAAGGAACGAAGGGAGAGAGTGAGGGAGGGAAGGAGAGAGAGAAAGGAAGAGAGTGAGAGGGAGTGAAGAAAGGATGTCTAAATCATCATTGGTATGATCATATGGTATTTAAAGTTTGATTATCATTATACTAAAAAGTAAACTCTAAACAGTCTCTCTCATGGACCTAGTCAAGGGTTTCACTTAGGTTATACCGTTATAGAGTTATCTAAAATACTAACCAAATTTGATGCCAAACGGGCCAATGATCAAAACGCATCAGCTTTGCCCAAGACCTAACATGACTTGCCCTCCCTCTCACTCCCACTCTCCCTCCTCACTCTTGAATATCGATTGGTCATCTCCCTTAAAGCTATCTTGGAATATGAAGGTGCATGTTCAAATGGTAAAATATTATTATCAATAATAATTTATCATGGAATAAGAGCATTTCTCCTATCTATTAATAGGGAATTAGTTATGGAGTTCTCCCTCCATCTTATCCCTTCCTTGTTAATCCGTGTAAATATTATCTATTTAAGACCTAGGGTAAATCTTTACAATAAGTGATTGGGGTCTTCTAATATTTCTTTATATTATATCTTGGCCAATGAGGAGAATTTTATATTATTGAAGCTTATTTATTTACCTATATAGTTATTATATATTCATTATACCTCTTGGTTGACAAAGGGAGAGATATAAGATCGAGTTGGTCCAATCAATAGAATAGTCCCTACCCCTCTATGGAGGTGATAGAATAGAGGCAAATTTTAAATTTTGAGGGATGGGCCTTATAAACCCCCTCCCTTATAAAGGTTGTTCTCAATATTATATGCCCCTAGTGATCCGTCTCTTGGTTGGAGAGGGGGAAAATCAATTACTTGTGTACATCCCTTCTATTGATGATCCCCCTCATTTAAAATTAGGAGAGTAATACTTACCATCTCACTCATGATAGCATCACAAAAAATCTCATCCTTGTATCATTTTATCTAAATATTACATAGTTTAACTATAAATATTTGTGATAGTTAAACAACATAAATTAATACAATACAATATTACTATATCTTATAAAATATACTATGTAATATTTAAATATAGGAAGGGTTGAGAGGGTTCTCTATCTCTTTAGGAATATCTTCACCTTTTATTGCCTAGTCTTCACTACTAGTTTTACTCTCTCCTTAGTGATTAATATCCTCTTTCGCCAAAGAGACTCCCATCTCTCTCTATTATGAAAGAGATGACATGGGAATGATGAATCAAACACTATATCATTGAAGGTAGCTTTTAGATAGGGGAATGATCAATCAACACATAAACTTGGTAGGTAATTAGTGTACGTGGAGTAATATAATAGGCTATTTAGCCTTTCAATTTATGAAGGTCTATATGATCCTACACTCATTTCTTGATGAAACGATATTCATCTCATCTTTTAGGGAGATGAGGTAGCGCTAAGGAATGGTATGAGTTACTAATGACTCCAAAAATGGACTTCTCTCCTGAAATAATATCCTACCATATTGGAGATGAAAACCCCTTATCTTTAAATTATTAGACGTAATCATTTCAATTTATGATTTTTATAACTTGAATAATAATAATGAGATATTATAAACTATCTTTAAATTATATCCCTTACTTATATGTGACCCACTCATAGGTGATAATAGAAATTGTTGATATTAATTTAGGTAGTAAAAAATATTGTGATCATAAGTCATCCTCCCATTATAAACCCATGGAAAAAATCCCATTAATTGGTTTTTGACCTATCACCCCTCTATAGATAATAGTTAGGGACTTATATAGATACTTCTCTACCATATTATACGAGATAATTAGGGAGATCATATTGTCCCTCTATCATTTTTGGAATAGAAAGTCGAATAGGTGCGTTATACCTTTGTTCTTGTCTCTCCTAGAGTAATACCAAAAATATATGGATACTTAGCCTTTAGAGAGAATACAACATGATTTCTATCGGTTATATTTTCCATTAGATATTGCTTGATGCCTCGCTCCCTATTTCTCCCTCCTATTATAGATAGAGTTTAATGCAAAGTATCCATACTTTATACTTATTTCTAGCATCAATAAATTCTATTATAGTACAATAATTGAATTTATGGATAATAGAGCCAAATATGTTCATTATTAAAGGCTTTTTGTGTATGATATATCAACAAATATTAGTCTATATCATCTCACTAATTAGGCAAGTGAGGGAGGTCTATCCTAAATCAACATGAACTCGAACTTATCAATTTCTCGATTATACATTATAGGTCAATGAAGGGTAATTGCCTATCTTCGATTGCAAACGCAGATATGGTAACATTACCTCAAAATATATAAAGAGATTACCTTGAATAATTAGAGAGATTATCCCCCTCTACTAACCACTATATCCTTGGTTCATATACGATAGTTGGCATGATAATTTAATAACCTATAAACTCATATATATATATATATATATATATATATATATATATATATATATATATAGGAGTCTAAATGAGAGATGAGTCATTTATATTCATTTTAATCATAGTGATATTATAGCTTATTATTAGTCCATGGGCCTATAATGAGAAACCCTAACTTCTATATTTATAGCAAAGTTAGATTTATCCCTCGTTTCCGAATCACGAGGGCTTTTACACTAACATTTAGATATAACTAAAATATAATAAATATTTCTTCATATCCTCTTTATATTCTACAATCATATGGTAAATTAGGACGGAATTCATGGAATAATATGAGCGAAGCTAAAATTGAAGGTAACGTGCGGGAATGGGAGGACAGAGACCATATAACTTGATTCTTTAATTAGGAGAATGCACATTCCCATAAGTGATAGGTGAATATGCTCCCTCACTATGGAGTATATTTGATCCCTTCACTTATTCCGTATTCCTATAATTTCCATCCCTAAAAGGTATATTTACCTTTCGAGGATGGTCCATATACAAGAGGGATACTTATCCCATATCCGATATGAGATTCTCATTTATATAGCTAAGTTGACGTTGCTACAAATTTATATGAATGATCAATTTGGGAATAATGCACGATACCTGTTCAAACTATTTTTGAGATAGATTGTGCTATTATGATCCTTCAATTGGTATCAGACTCCTTTCTTCAATAATGTAAAAGAGATCGTGTCAACTTAAGATTATTTATCAATAATAGCTCTTTCATAAGATGCGATTACTTGTTATTCTAAAGATTATACTTTGCCCATGAAATTAATATTCATACAATGGAACTCAAGAGTTGGATCAATTTATTAGCCATCAACTTATAGATCAATCCTAGCATGTTGCTTTGGATAAACCTCTTTGCATGAATGTGATATATATTAGTGAAGTAATTTGTAACTAATAAATCATGTGATGGTGATCCTCCACATCTATGGCTATTTAGAAATTACAACATCTTATTTAAAATACCAAGAAAGGATTCTCTATCCAATATTATTTCCACAATCTCACCTTTTTTGAGATATTATCTCCGTAATCTCACCTTTTTGAGATCAATGATGGTACCACATTTTAACATAAAAAATGGTTAAATTATGACTATTATAATAGGGGAGTCCATTTAATCATCTCTCCCTCTCTCATAAAAGGTGATTATAATTTGAGAAATTATATTGAAAATTAATTTAGGTATGTGTCATATGCATGGGGCCCTCTATCTAAATTATCAATTTCCCCGTAGGTTCCCCTATGACAAAGGCCCAAGAGGACCTCATCTAGCTTAGTTATATATATAACACACAAGAGTCGCTCTCACTATAGTACCATGTAGGGACAATAAATATAGGATTTATGTTCTTTGACAATCTTTCGATGGACTTATGAATATATAATTAGGGGTGCCAATGTATTGGAAAGGAAGTCATTTATTGCTAGAATAAAATCAATCTAAATGAGAGGTGAGGTGATACCATTAAAGTTTTTTTCAGCTCAATTAAGGCCTTGTTTTTTACTAATGATACGTCGGGGTATTGAATAATAGTATTTTAACATTCAATCGTGGAAGACATATGGGTATATTACTATTACTATCCAACCTTTATCAACCTATTTCATGCTTCCTCTCTATCTCCCTCTCCACTCTCCCTTTCTCTTACTATTTCCTATTTCTCTTTATCATATTGTGAACTATATCACTAGAAAGTAGAATTGGCTCAAATAAGACATGGCCCACGTTAGCATAATGTAACTATCTTTCACCTTACTCAGGATAATAAATATCCATACTAGGGCTCTCCTTGATCTCCCTCTCTATACTAACCAAACGACTCAAGGTAGAGCCTAAAATATCCCTTCTCAAATTCTTAATTTCCTATGAGCACATTTGGACTCCGCTACTATAATAGTCATAATTATATTGATTCATGCTTCCTCTCTATCTCCCTCTCCACTCTCCCTTTCTCTTACCATTTCCTATTTCTCTTTATCATATTGTGAACTATATCACTAGAAAGTAGAATTCGCTCAAATAAGACATGGCCCACATTAGCAGAATGTAACTATCTTTCACCTTACTCAGGATAATAAATATCCATAATAGGGCTCTCCTTGATCTCCCTCTCTATACTAACCAAATGACTCAAGGTAGAGCCTAAAATATGCCTTCTCAAATTCTTAATTTCCTATGAGCACATTAGGACTCCCCTACTATAATAGTCATAATTATATTGATTATAATTTCTCTCCATCTTAGGGGAAAATCAAGATGTTTAATAAATCATTTATAATTGCATTATGATTATCAATAATATTCATAATATTTTTAGAATATAATATTCATATATTGGTTAATAGTTATGATAAATTTAGTTAATATCTTATTATATTTGAATAATATTATAGTAATTTAATATCATCCAACATCATATTGATTCACTTAGTATTCAAACATGCAATTTATTAATAAATGAATAACAAATATTATGACAATTTGATATAGCAATTATAATCAATATGGTTCCATGACGTTATAATGGTTATAACTAGGTCCAAACTAGATAGATTATAAATAATTTACATAATCAAGTTAAAAATATCTATTGGTACACACTTGGAAAATTCAATCCTCACATAGAGATACTAATGACTCAATTATATCGAGGGTTATTTGAGAAACATTCTAGACATGATATCATTTCCCAATATTCCTATATAATAGCATTCACTATTTATAAAGGAGTATTTAAATAATATCAATTCCTATTGATGGTTAAAGAGCATGTTCAAATATTTAATAACCTATGGAGAGGACCAAATCGATTATACACTTGGTCGCCTCATATGTGAGTCCCCATATTATGGAGCTATATATATTATAGCTCCGTAATATAGAGAGTGTAGAATATATTTTAAGACTAATAATAAATAAGCAATTATATGTAATTTTCATGGCATACTAAGGCATTAGTGATCTCCCAATATTTAACCATTACAACCATACATGTATGGTTATCATGAATCTCGTATGCATGTTTGGCCCATTTTGGTGAAGAGTCCCCATAAATATCCTATCTATAATAGGCTAATTTTTCATGTAGCCAATGGAAGGCTTGTTTTCCATAACACAACCCGATGGTCCAAGATTAGCCATGGTATTACTAATACAAGGGCCATATAATAGGGGAGATGTTTGTAAATAATTATTATGACCTACAATGTAATAACCTCTAAGTAAGATTATTCATAATCTCATTTACGGATACATTCCCGATTCATCCATAGTATAGGCCCATCACCTAATAATATTAGACAAATTTAATAGTAACTCATGATAACACCTTCAGATCACGATATTCCAACCATGATATATTCCAAATCGGACATACTAGATATAAAATATTAGGTTTACATTTAGTTTTATTTATAGAATGGAACTTGTAGTCTAATTCAAAATTATTAGTCGCATTTCCTAGCATGGTATATAATAATAGTATCAATATCTTTTACCAAAAATAGGGGTGTTCACCAATTATCATATTAATTAACCAAGGCCCACTCTTGTTTTAATCATTTATTTGGAATTATCTTGGAATTCTTATTAATCCAAACTATAGTAATACTGTGGAGATGTTGCCTATTATGAGGAACAATAGAGATAGAGGGATAAATTATGACTAATGAACAAATAATGATACAATAGCTCACTCATAGAAATCAAATTCAAATCATTATTATTGACATAAACTATAATATAGTTAACTCTATAATTTTCAATGATTTCCTTAATGATATTGTTGATATATAGATTTGGTTAACTTCTATCCCACTAATTAGCTAACATATTTGAGTAACACAAATAATGGTTATGATTGTTTAGTTTATAATGATCATGCCTTAGATGGTCAACCTATTGTCCATCGTTTGGTGTAGACTAAATAGATATAATCTCCCTTCAAATCGTGTTAGGTCTATTACTACTAATATTATGGGCGTTTATTCTATAACAATATGACCATGACAGGTATAACCATATATTTTAGCTCTATTAATACTAATTTTTTAGTGTTTCTAATTTAACCTTATTATATATGGGAGGATTTTGGTTATTAAATAACATGAAGGGCTATTCTCTCTAGAGGGTTATGTTATTCCATCCGAGATTATCCTTACCATTATAAGATGAGCTATAATTAGTATAATTAGTATTTTGCCTTCATGGTAACACCATATTAATAAGCTATTTATAGGATTCACTCGATAGAAAGAGGAGCCATGCCTAAAATTGGTTAAACTTGACCACTCTAAAATAATATCAAGATGTGTTCATCCATGGCCTATCATATGTAAGGCAAACATATAATATAAATCCAGAGAACTATAAAATTATTGTAGATAGACTTATTATACCACTAGTATATTTACACTTATTTATCACTACCGTATAGTCTAATTCTCTAACTTATCCTTTATTAATAAATAAGATATATGAGCTATAATTCTATGAGTTTAAGATGGCAATATGGACTAGGCACTTTTCTCCTATTGGTAAATTAAGACCATGTTATCCAACCAATCTGTAGAATATTAGCTAATTCATTAACAATATAATAATTTATATTTGAGCCAATTTGTTAGCTTGTTAATAGGAACACACCTAGGTATCTTAAATATAGCCCATGGGTTTGGTCTAAGGTAATATAAGTAATATTGATTAAACTCATGAATGGCCCACATAGTAAAATGATTATACAGAATTTAGCTTCATAAGATAATCTGAAAGTTAGGACAAATGATTATGATGAGGTCTTAACTCATTGAGATATTACCTTTAGTTAGGCTACCCAAGAATAAATATTTGAAGATTGGGAATTTGATAGTCATTGAACAGGGAGCATTTACAATAGGCACGATTAGGTGTCTAGATTATACTCTTAGTCTTAATATATTATGTCGAGCAAACTAGATTGTTCATCTAAATGATCTTCTATTAGATCTATGGTTACTTATATTTCAATTATCATACAATAATGGAATGTTTAATAGTCATGGTTACTAATACCTATTAACTCCTATTGATAGGTTAATGTGTAATTATTTATGCCAAATCACCCTTGGGCAATAATCCGTATATAATAATATATTTTAGCATCAACCTCCTTGATTCATCGACTAGAGTTAGTATATATGATCATAATTGTCACTACATAGGCTAAAATACAACCCTCTTATTAGGTGTTTAAAAGGGCTAACCTATATCGTTTCTTACAATAAAAATTTTACTGTAACATATCATAGAAATTCTAGGATCTACGTTTATCTATACATTAATCAATATTTG